GTAGTAGTAGTAGTAGTAGTAGTCGTAGTAGTAGTAATAATAGTAGTGGTGGTAGTAGTAGTAGTAGTAGAAATAGTGGTAATAAAAAAACATTAGAAATAGTAGTAGTAGTAGTAGCAGTGGTAGTCGTCTTTGTACTAGTACTTGTACAAGTAGGAACGGTAGTACACACAATAATAAACATGGTAGTAGTAGTGGCAGTGTTAGGGGTAGAGTTCGCAGTAGCAGTAGTAGTCGTAGTAGTGATAATAGTAGTAGTAGTAGTACTAGTCGTAGTAGTAGTAGTAGTAGCAGCAGTAGTAGTAGTAGTAGTAGTAGTAGTCGGCGTAGTAGTCGAGGTAGTAGTCGTCGAATAGTAGTACTATCAAAAATATTAGTAACCGCCGTAGTAGAAGTACACGTAGTAGAAGTAGTCGTTGCAATATTCGTAGTGGTCCTCGCACCTGTACTATCAATATTAATAGTAGTAGCAATACTTTGTAGTAAACGTAGTATGCGTAGCCGTGGTAGTAGTAGTGTACGTAGTATTCGTAGCAGTAGTAATGGTAGAAGGTGTGGTGATAGTGGTTGTCGGAAGTAGTAATAATAATCATAGTAGTATTGGTTGTTGTATTAAACGTGGTAGTATTACCAGCAGCAATAGAAGGAGTAGTGGTAGTAGTAAGAATAGTCGCAGCTGTAATCGTAGTACCCGGAGTAGTAACACTGGCCGTGGCAATACTAGGGGTAGCACTAGTAGTAGAAATGGTAGTAATTCTCGTAATAGTAGAAGAAGTGGTCGCAGTAGTAATGGTAGTAGTCGTAGTAGCACTAGTAGTACTACGAGTAGTAGTAGTAGTAAAAGTAGTAGTAGTAGTAGTAGTAGTAGTCGTAGTAGTAGTAGTAGTAGTAGTAGTAGTAGTAATAGTAGTAACAGCAGTAGTAAAGGCGTAACTATAATCATAATACGGAGTAGTACACGTAGAGTAATAGTAACCGTAGTGGTAATAGTGGTAGTAGTCGTAATAGTTGTAGTTGTGGTGGTACTAGCAATACCAATAGTAGTGGTGGTTTTGGTAGAAATGGTAGCAGCAGTAGCAGCAGCAGCAGTAGTAGTAGAGATACGAAAAGTGATCGCAGTCGCAGCAGTAGTAGTATTAATTATACTGGCCGTCGTCGTAGTAGTAATATTAGTAGTGGTGGTAGTGGTAGTAGTAGTAGTAGTAGTAGTAGCAGTTGTCGTCGTCATCGTAGACGTAGTCGTAGTAGTAGTCGTAGCAGTGGTGGTACACGTAGTAGTCGCCTTTATAGTAGTCGTACTGATCGTAGTAATGGTCGTGGTAGTAGTAGTAGTAGTAGTAGTAGTAGTAGTCGTAGTAGTAGTAGTTAGTGGAGGAAACAGTAGCAGTGGTATTAGTAGTAGTAGTAGTAGTCGTAGTAGTCGTAGTAGTAGTAGTCGTAGTAGTAATAGAAGTAGTAGTAGCGGTAGTAGTAGTAGTAGCAGTAGTAGTAGCGGTAGTAGTAAGAGTAGTAGTAGTAGTAGTAGTTGTAGTAGTAGTAGTAGTAGTAGTAGTAGTAGTCCCAGTAGTCTTGGCAGTCGTAATAGCACTGGAAGAAAAAACGTACTAGTAGTAGTACTACTAAGAGCACGAATTATAGACGTAGTAGTAGTAGTAGTAGTAGTAGTAGTAGTCGTAGTATTGGTAGTAATCCCAGTAGTAGAACGAGTAATCCTATTGGTATTAATTGCCATGGTAATAGTAGCAGTAGTGGTCGTTGTGGCAGTAGTCGTAGCAGTGGTAGTACTGGTAGTCGTCGTCGCCCCCGCGAAGTGACGAGCGACGAGCCCCGGCTCCGAAGAGGCCCCGCGGGGGGGCAGGGCGCCGGAAAAAAAACATCTCTAGCGTCATCCTTCGATGAATCGCTCAAGCAGTTCTGCGTGCGACGCCCGCTCAGCGCGGTTCTCCGCTGCGCGGGCCCACTGCCGCAACCCCGCCTGCGTGGTATAATGTCGCAACGTGTCCTCCCATTTCATCCAGCGTCGTCTGGGCGGCCGCTTTTCCCTGGTGCTCTCGCCCCGCATGGCCCCCGTCCAATCGCTGTCTCTCCAGGAGGTTGCGCGCCATGCCCACGACGTCGCTGGCACCCTGGCCACGCGGCCTGCCCAGAGCCATTTCTGTCTCGCCTGTGCCCGCGCCCAATCCCACATGCCAGCGCGCGTGGCCAGCAGCCTGCATTTGTGCGTCGTGCGAATGGCCCACTCGTGCCGCTGCTCGTCAGGTCCTCGCCGGAAGCCGCACGTGCGCCGTAACATTTTGTTCCGGGTGGACTTGGGCGCGCTGTATTCCGCTGCTCTCGGCGCCCAAGAACACGCCCCGTATAGTGCGCAGCCCCCAACAGAAGAGTCAAATAACTTCAGCCGCTTGAAGACAGAAGCATTCCGGTTCATCAGAAGAGAATTCATCGCCCAAAACTTCCTCCGAGCGATGCCCGTTCTGCGTTCGATTTCCATGCCAGTGACGTCGAACAACGATAACGCAGTTCCCAAGACTTCAAGGCTGCCCCCTCCTGGCAACACGTTGACGGAGAAACGTTCCTCAAGAACAACGTCTCCCCGCTCCACTCCAGCAGTCCGGTTTGTCTGCACCTTGCACTTCGCCGGGCGTAGCCTTAGCCCCCGCTTCGCCGGGGCGCCCCGGAGCACGAGCACCACGCGCTTCAAAGAAAGCCACGTTCTCGCTAGCAACGTCGCGTCGTCAGCAAAAACCACGTGCGTGAGACATGCGCCACGCGCTGATTGCCCGACCCGGGCGCCGCATTTGCGCCGCTGCCAAACCGCCCCCACCTCGCGCAATAGATTCGCCATTACCAAATTGAACACAGGTGATGAAGGGTCTCCTTGTCGCACCCCTCTCTGCACCTCGAACCGTTTACTGTCGACCCCAGATGCCAGCTTCACGTACGCGGTCATCCCTCTGCATAGTTTTCGCAAGACGCTCACTAAGCTGACATCCGCCCCCGTGCCGGTCAAGGCCTCGAAAAGCTGATCGCGGGCAACTCGGTCGAAAGCCTTCTCCACGTCTAGAGTGGCCACCCAGAGCTCCTCCCCCCGCTCGGCCGACTTCTCTGCGACCAACCGAAGGACATGCAGAGCGTCATCGCAACCTCGCCCTCTGCGAACGCCGCGCTGCTCCTCGGCGAAGTGGGCCTCAATCGCATTTTGTAAACGCAAATGTAAAATGATACTGAAGAGTTTCGCCATCACCGGAATGATCGATACTGGTCTGTAATTTGCCACATATCTCTTGTCTCCTTTTCTGAAGATAACTGATAAGCGTGCTGTTTTCCATTCCGACGGCGGCCCCATTGTACATTGGGCGAGATATGTGAAATACTCCGACAGTGCGCATATCAATCCTTCATGGCCTGTTCGCAGCATCTCGGTGACTAGACCGTCTGTCGCCCCAGTTCGCCCATTCTTCATGCGCTTGAGTGCGGTGGAAACTTCGTCGCAAGAAACTGGCGGTACTAAGTGTGGCAAGTGCTGTTCCTCGTGGTGCGCAATGTCGCCGAAGTCGCCCACTTTGTACAAGTCTTCGTAAAAACTAGCAAATGCTTCGGCGATGTCCGCGTCCTTCGTCACCTCTTGGCCCGCGCCCCCAAAGACTGCCCCAACCCGGTCGATGCCAGCATGCCGTTGTATTGCTCGTTGTAGAGCCTTTAAACCTTGTCCGTGCTCAGCAATCTCAATAATTGCACGCGATTGTCGTAACCGTCTTTCTTTTCGAAGTTCTCGCCATAACTCTTTGGATAATGATTTCCGCCTCTCTGGATTTCGCGCCTCCCGCCGTGCCTTGAACAAGTTCTGGATGCATGAGTTGTGCTCTTGCTTGGGCTTCAGCGAAACGTCCCCCGCAGCCCGGGCAGACTCCACAATCATGGCGTTCACCTCCGTTACGGTGTCGTGCCCCTTGGCGAGGGTGTCCGAAAGTAATGCATGGAATTTCGCTGGATTTCCGTTCTCGTCCAGCTGAGGCTGCCAGCCGCGCAACAATCGTACTTTCTGAATCCGTGTGGGCATATCTATCGAGACAGACAAATGGATAAATATAGCTCGATGGTCCGATTTCCCCGCCAAATCTATCTGCACAAATGCCAGCCTTCGAAACCTTCCAAGCCTGAGAAGTGGGAACAAAAGTATAATCGATTTGTCGTAACGCCGATTTGCTGTACAATCGATGTGTCCGCATATTCTCCCACGAAGCCTCGAAAAGAGACGTCGTCGGCACCAGCCGCATACCGTGTAACCAGTGTGATAAATTATGCCCCCGGGGACTGCGCGCGCCCATGCCGTACTGACCGATGACATCAGGATCGTCGGACAGGATACGCCGGCCCAGAACAGCATTCGCGTCGGAGCCCACAACCACTAAGCGCTTTGCTTTCCGCGCCCGGTTCACCACCCCCTCAATATCCAGCAGGCCGGAATCATACTCATCATCTGGATGCTTTGCGTGACACAAATGCGAAATGATAAAACAAAAATCGTGCCCAGAAATACTGAAATCCAACTGCGCCAAAGTAGAGCTCGAAACTGTGAAATGAATTTGCGTCCCTGCATGCACCCACCGCCTGTGTACCAGAAAGCCCACGCTACGCGTATTGCCCCCGGATTGCGAACAGCACCACAAATGGCCAGAATCCAATCTTTTCTCTGTTGGGGTATCCATTTTCGGACCCTCCTGGAAGCACAACAAGTCCCACCGTGGACCATCGTCCAAAGCGGCCGCAATATCCAAAATCCTTCATTCCTCCATCCAATTTGCATTCCAACTGACTACCGTCATCGACTTCAGCATAATCGCGCTGAACTCGACACTACCCTGCCCGGGGCTAGAGGAATCAGCCGGCGCCGTAGACACCAACTTCACCACCCCTTTTCGCCGAAGCAGCGTAATCGGCACGTCCCCGCACGCCTCCCCATACCTCCCGCGACCGCCTCCCCGAAATCTCTCCAAACCCTACTCTGTGCCGTGCAGCAAGTCGTGTTTCTCCTTGTACGCCGCGGCCTCCCCTAGGAGCGTCATGCGGCCATCCCCCCAAACTGCTGCCCGCTTGTCCTTCCACCAAACAAGACCCTTCTTGTAATTTGTGTCGACGTCCTGCTTGATGGCATCGCCGTCCCCGCCGTTCGACTCGACGATCGTCCTGACTACCTTCCTCACTGCCTTCTCCCTCCTCGCCTCCTCCGAGTTCCTGTCCTGGTACTTGGCGTCCACATTGCAACAGCTTGCCCTGGAACTCGTGCTTGTTTTTCCCAGCCTTCGCACTCACGTACTTCCACATGGCGTCAGCAGTCTTGAACCGAGCTCCGCCCCTTTCCGCAAACTTTCGGCCGTAAGCGAAAACCTCCTCCAAGTCATCTTTCACTCCTTTGAGCACATCCGTGATGAATGTGGTCATGTCCTTCGCCTTCGGGTCTTCCGGGAATTGGCCGAAAGTGAATGTACGACCTTTTTCCTCCTCCCTCTTCCTGTCCCTCCTGCTATCCACCGTCCCCGTGGGCGTAGGCGTCTGTGTCGTCGGCTTGTTGTGAACATGTGCTGCGACTGCATCCTGTACTGCTGCATGCAACTCCTTTTTTTGAAACGTAAAGATCGTCCAGATCATGACGTAAACCATCCACCTCCACCTCCAACTCATCCATCTTATCTGACATGTCCGTGGTGGCCTGCAACGCCTCCTGAGCTGTGCGTTTGGCCTCGCTCACGTCCGTCGCCAACTTGTCGAACCTGCCCAGTGTCGTCGTCCCCGTCTCGTCGTTGTCGTGGTCGTCGCTGCGATAGTAAGGGTAATACTAATCGTAACAGTCTTCGTCGTAGTAGTAGTAGTAGTAGTAGTAGTAGTAGTAGTAGTAGTAGTAGTAGTAGTAGTAGTAGTAGTAGTAGTAGTAGTAGTAGTAGTAGTAGTATTAGTAGTAGTACTAGTAGTAAGTAGTAGTAGTAGTAGTAGTAGTAGTAGTAGTAGTAGTAGTAGTAGTAGTAGTAGTAGTAAGTAGTAGTAGTAGTAGTAGTCGTAGTAATAGTAGTAGTAGTCGTAGTAGTAGTAGTAGTAGTAGTAGTAGTAGTAGTAGTAGTAGTAGTAGTAGTAGTAGTAGTAGTAGTAGTAGTAGTAGTAGTAGTAGTAGTAGTAGTAGTAGTAGTAGTAGTAGTAGTAGTAGTAGTAGTAGTAGTAGTAGTAGTAGTAGTAGTAGTAGTAGTAGTAGTAGTAGTAGTAGTAGTAGTAGTAGTAGTAGTAGTAGTAGTAGTAGTAGTAGTAGTAGTAGTAGTAGTAGTAGTAGTAGTAGTAGTAGTAGTAGTAGTAGTAGTAGTGGTGGTAGTGGTAGTGGGGTAGTAGTAGTGGCCGTAGTGGTAGTGGTAGGAGAAGTAATACTAGCCGTAGTAGCAGTAGTAGTCGTCGTCGTCGTAGTAGTAGCAGTTGTAGTAGTCGTAATACTACTAATAATAGTACTACTCGTAGTGGCACTAGTTGTAATAGTAGCCGCCGTACTAGCACTTGTAGTAAAACTAGGAGTAGCAGCCGTAGTACTGGTAATATGAACAGCCGGAATAAAATAAGAGTTACAAAATACTACAAGTACAAGTGCAAACCCTAATAATAATAATCGCAAGACAGCTCGCCACTTCTGCCCCACCACCAGCCCAAACGGCGAGCAAAAATCGGGCGTTGCCCCGCACGCATTCGAATGCCCACACTTCGTCCTCGTACTACTCGTATTCCTCCCCGTTATCCTTCCAATCCTGATCGTCGTCGTCGTCCTCCTCCTCGTCCTCCTCCTCATCGTCCTCGTTGTCCTTGTCTTCCTCCTGCTCCAGCTCCCCCTCGCCGCCCTCGTCTACGACCTCGTCCTCGTTTCTCCTATTCCTCCTCCTGCTCCTCCTCCCTCTCCTGGCACCTCGGCGGCCGAGATAAAACTTTCTCCCATCGGTTGCGCCACAATTTCCACCCTCAGCGGCTGAGAATAACACCGTCTTGTATCGGTTGCGCCATACATTGCGCCCTTGGCGGCCGAGAATAAAACCGTCTCCCATCGGTTGCGCCATAGGTTGCGCCCTCGGCGGCCGAGAATAAAACCGTCCCCTATCGGTTGCGCCGTAGGTTGCGCCCTCGGCGGCTGAGACTAAACCGTTTTGTGTCGGTTGCGCCATAGGTTGCGCCCTCGGCGGCCGACAATAAAACCGTCTCCCACCGGTTGAGCCATAGTTTGCGCCGTCGGCGGCCGAAAATGAAGCCGTCTCCTATCGGTTGCGCCATAAGGTTGCGCCTTCGGCGGCCGAAAACAAAACCGTTTTGTATCGGTTGCGCCATACATTGCGCCGTCGGCGGCCGAGAATAAAACCGTCTCCCATCGGTTGCGCCATAGGTTACGCCCTCGGCGGCTGAGGATCAAGCCGTCCCCTATCAGTTGCGCCATAGTTTGCGCCCTCGGCAGCCGAAACTAAATCGCTTACTGTCGGTTGC